CAAAGTAAAAACGTTCTGAGAAACTGGAATTTTTTTGCAGCGATGCTTTTCAAAACTCAGCCTCTTCTTACAAAATATTTTACTGGCTTGTTCAATGATTTTGTTTTTGTTGAACTAGAAATATGTAGTTTTAGCAGATCAAAAAGCTTAATTTTTTGAGATGCAAGAAGCTTAAAAAACGGTAGGGCACTAACTTGTGATATGAGCGGATATGCTTATTACGAAGATCATAACCATTCATCAGGATAGGGTCCTGCGTAGGGGGTCTAAGGCTGTTCGACATGCTAATTACAAAAGTTTCACCCATAGCGAATAGTAAGCGCTCATTGCAAATTTAGGGTGTATGTTCGTGAAAACATCAAATGAAACGAAAAAATTAGATTTACAAGAAAAAGTTGGATAGCTTCATGTCTAGTGCGAACTGGCTTTACCATACGGAATGGATATGATTGTCGTGATCAGCATTTAACCTCAGTACACATTTTTCAGGCAATTCAGTGAATTTGCTCCTGCAGCGTCACCTACGTACCTTAACCCTAATAAGAACTTGCTGCGGGGAACGGCTATATTCGTAGTCAGCACAAGTAATCTTACTATATTAGGCGGCGTTATCTTATCTAACTTTTCATAACCTTCTGAGTTTCTAATTATTTTCTCTTTAAGCAAACTCATTGAACAAGACAAACAAACTGTTTTGTAGAGATTTCTAGCTTCGACTAGTAACAAGGTGCTACCAAAATTTCAGGTTCCCCAGATATCTTTGAGTTCGGAAAAAAAACGGTAGGAGCTTATCCGACAACCCAATTGCTGTTCAAATCAAAAATCATGTTCTCAATTTGCTTAGTGTGTCCTGGGGTTATGTAGAACATAATATGTCGAAAGAAATCAGTTTTTCAACCTTAATGCGCCACTCAAAGCCTTCCAGCATGCTGGAACTACCCAAAATCTTCACTGAACAAATTGTCTAAGAAAGGGTAATGAATGAAGAGCAGTGGGGAGCATGAATATGGGAAAGAGTCCATCTGTAGGGAGTTGACGTTTAGAAAGCGATGAAATAGGTATAACCTACATTGTAGGCTGAACTTTAAGACCTTCATTATTGACGTCCAAAGCTAAAGATTTTGTTGTGTTACTGTTTGACGTAGTGCTTCCGGAAGGTGCGAACATTTTTGGCGCTTCCATCTAAAAAGGCACTCATTTAACAGTTGATAAAGATGTGACATCAATTCGTTATGGCACTAACCGAAGACAGATTCCCAATAACCTTTCCCAATCTTAGCATACCGTAAAGACTGGGCAATTGTTCTGGTCTCATTTCATCTTCGGCGACTTCAACGCTATCGAATTGAACAGCTTGATAGCGACCCTGCGAATTATTAAAACTGTATCCGCTGTGGGCCTGTTTCATGAAAAAATATAAAGCAATTGATAAGGATGTGCTTACACATGGAATTACTAATAGGAACGCAACAGTTGAAGCAAAAATGAACACTGGAATATAGGAAATCATGCAGTTCGCAGAGAATGGAAGCTGTGCCTGAAAGAACTGAGCAGATTAGCTCAAAATGGTCAATTTTTTGTGTTTGTGTTAAAATATAATCCAATGTTACATTATGATAGGGTCACGGCAGTAGATTTAAAAGTGATGAAATAATCATGAGATATCTATACTTTTGGCATGGAATAAATCTATTTAACAGTAACTTAATCAAGATGAAAAGATTGATGATAGGGGCAGGATTACGGTAGGACCCAAACATTCATCCTCGAAAAGTGAGAAAAGAGATGGTCTCCGCGATTTAGAACAATATCTATGCTTACGTCTTATATTCACAGAAGAAGCTCGCTATTAGAAATATGATGCTTGAAGCGAACCTGCGCTTGCGATGAACTTCCGCATGCGCACAGAATTTCTATCATATCTTGACACTAGCGGGCTACGATACAAAATGGCTGTGATCTCTACAAACAACTAGTACAATTAGTAGCTGATATGCACCTCCAGCTTCCTGAGAAAAATGTCCTTCGCACGTCCCAATGCAGGTTTGGCAAGTAAATGACTTGCTCTATGGAAATCAGGAATCTGTAAGATTATCATTCCGAAAATGAAGAAAAGAAGCCAACAGTAGACAACACAACTGACCCCATTTTGATACGGTCTACCCGATATCACAATTGATATAAGGGTTCGGAAGACTATCAAAAGATTGGAAGCAGCGTAGTCTCCCTCAGCCGAGACGTCAAATCTGAAAAACCATTGTTTCTCGCTATTTTTAGACGCACCTTATTTTTTT